CTACTCCTCCTCCTCCTTCTCTCACTGCCTCCTCCTCCTCCTGCTGCTGCTCACGGCTGTTTTGGTGTTATCCTGATGCCGTTCCCAGCCCTGCCCCCCCAACAGGGAGGCAGGGCCGGTATTGAAACATGGCACCACTAGCCGAAAGGGGGGGCTTCCCCAGGAGGCGAGGGAGACACGCGGAGGGGGACGAAACGGGAGGAACAAGGGAGGGAAAGCACGCACGACGAGGCGGGGGAGAGGAGGGAGAGGTCCCAGACAATCACCGAACCCCACGAGCGCCCCCCCAAATGAGTACGGAACGCAGGACAGAGAAACGGCGGTGGAGTGAAATGGGTGGACACTAGGGGGGGTCGGTCAAAGGCCTGGCCTAAAGAAAAGCGGTCGCAAAAGGCACAAGCGAAAAGTGAAATGAAGAGGGGGAGAAGAGGAAGACAATGAAGGGGGCGTGGGAAGAAAACAAGGCAAGCGGGGCGCTCTGGCCACGAGGCCATCGTGGCACCTCTGGGCGAGACCGTGTCCTCCGTCGCCCCCCACCTGCCTCCTGCTCCTCCTCCTCCTCCTCCTCCTCCTCCTCCTCCTCCTACCCCTCCTCCTCATCCTCCTCCTGCTTCTCCTCCTCCTCCTCCTCCTCCTCCCCCTCGTGGTCGTCGTCGCTGTCTTTCAGGGTCGGCGACACCGGCCGTCAGGCCTTCACAAAGGAAAGTCGTCCCCAGACTATTTTTACAATATCTTTGGAGATTCCTGCTGTAGAGGGGCATGCCCGACCTAGTACTGCTTGCACAACGCAGCAAGGACACTGCCCGATGGCATTATGGGCAGCGAGCTTTCTGCGACGGTGCGATGCACCTGCTGCGGAATGTGCCTCTTGGACGTGTCACGAGCGTTAGGTCGGGCATGTCCTCTTACAGGCGGATTCTGTGCGGAAAATTTAGTAATCATGATACGCATAGTAATACTAAGCAGAGTCATTAGAGGCCGAACATAATCCAACACTGTCAGAATGATGGAAGAATAGTCTTCGTACTATTATCTGATTATCTTTGAAATCTTCCTGCTCTAGAGGGACATGCCCTGATGGGGGGAGGGGGTCCTCCTCCTCCTCCATCTTCTCCTCCTCCTCCTCCTCCTCCTCCTCCTCCTCCTCCGTCTCTCCGTCCTCCTCCTCCTCTCCGTCGTCCTCCTCCTCGTCCTCCTCCTCCTTCCCCCCTCCAACTTATGGTGGTGGTGGTGGAAACAGGCCCATCACGCCCGAATTAAGACGAGCGCCAAAGAAGTCCAACGAGAGGTTCTATGCCTGGAGCGGCCCAGGCGAGGGTGCAGCCGACAGGAGCACCACATTCGGGAGGGAGGGGCGCCCCTCCTCAGTCCCCCCCCCCTAGGGAGCGCCTGGGTGAACGAGGAGCGCCCGTGGGCCAACCACGGAAGGAGCTGCAGAGGGAGGAGGAAAAGGAGGAGTTGGAGGAGAGGAACATGAGAAGCCGTAGCTATTTTTGCTCGAGTGGGTGTTAGGGGGTCACCTGGGGGTTTCTCACTCACATTAGTGGCACTTCCCGCAGCAGCCATGCCGCGCGGAGGCATCACTGCTCGTCATGGCATGTCCGTGGCACATGTGCGATCGGTCGAAGAAGCAGCTTCCCTCATGCAGAAGCTGAACTAGCCCCAGGAAAACATCCAACGCTATGAGCAGATGATGGCCTACGATGGCATCCATAACTCCGCGGGATCAACCCTCGGACTCGGCAAGAGGGCCGCTTCTGAACAGGTTCGTCAAGGGCTGCGGCAACGAGGTTACGACGACTTGGCGAAATAATTGTCCACTGAGCGGCAAAGTCGGCGAGCATTAGCCCACAGAGTTGGTCGTTTGGAGGAGCGCATACTGGAGGCGCTCGCAACTACACCAGGCACGTTGCTTTCAACCTCAAGCGGATTGCCGGAGCTGGAGTTCTTGCACACCTCCACAGCGGAGACTATGGGGAAGCACAGAACCTGGCAGCACGATGGGGATCATAAGAAGCTAGAAAAGCCAGAGCAACCCCATCTCTTGAAGAAAGACCTGCAGTACGAGGAGATTGTCCTGCCCAACTTTGACGAGAAGCTAACCGATCCGAAGGACATGATCCTAGGACCGAGGGCAGACCTCCTCAGCCTGCCACAGTTTCCTCAAGCATCGATTTCTTCTCAGGGAAATTCGTTTGGCGCAGAGTGCGAAACGGTGGACGGCAACCTTGAGAAGGTGTGCCAAATCCAATTGGACAAGGAAGAATTTGCGGGGATGCCCCTGTCTGTGAGCAAGCCCCGCAAGAGCATTCTGAAGATCACACTGGATATCACGTGGCGCCGCATCCTTCTGGCAGGACAAGTGGCCACATCAGCAGTTCCAGCAGTGCGATCTGCGATGCCGAATATCTAGAGCGGCGTCATCTTCGCTGTTTGCGCTTCCGCAGGGGATAGGATCCACATCGATGACAACTCTTCTGCGCAGGATGGGCCAGTCTAAACTTTTCATGGATGGCAGTTGTGTGCGACGAGTGGAAGGGGCACTGCGCCCTGTTCCTGGCTTACCTTTCTGGCCCAGGTATCCAGAGCATCCGAGGAGCAACGATTACTCATTCCCATGCGGCTGCAGCCGTAATCCTCATATGTATAAATGATATAAATATATATATATATACACACCATGTGCCCCCCCTTTCGCTCTTCTTCCTCCTCCTCATCCATATCCTCCCCTCCTCGACCTATCCTCCTTCCTCTTCATCCATATCCCTCCTATCCATCTCCTCCCCTCTTTCGTCCTCATCCATATCCCTGTCTCTCGACCCTGTGCGCCGCAGCAGTGGCTGGGCAGTGAGTCGACGAGGGAGGGGCTCGGTGGGCATCCTGGGACAGGTGCACCACAGTCCAGGGTTTGCAGGCGGGCTCGGGGCGCCAGCGTCTGAAGTGGAGGTGCATCGGCAGCGTCGGCAGCCTGACGACCAACATGTTGGGTCACAACAAGTGGGACCCAAGACATGTGCATGCCAAAAGCTTCGATGGGCCCATGGCGTGTTGGCCTGGCCCAGCCTCCCCCCTCTCCAACCCGTAGCCTATACTCACATCCTCCATAGGGGGTGGCGGCGGAGGGGAGGATTTATATCTGGCCATCGCTCGGACGTCCTGTCCCTGTTTTCGTGTCGGGTTCGTGCGTCTCGATGGTCCTCGGCGAAGGAAAAATGCACACGTCCGAGCGATGCCAACATATTAGGAGCGGTGGAGGAGTTCGGAGGATCCTCTTGCCCCGCCCCTCCGCCCCGTGCCAGCGTGTCCCCGCCGTGGGCGAGAGGGAAGCTGGAGCTCCGTGCAGGTGGTGCCTGGGCAAATCGTGGCACACTTGCTCCGAGCCATCGTGCTTGGAATGCATGGCTAGGCGCAGCGAGCTGGCTAAGGGCCCAGCCTCCGCCCAGGCCGCAGTGAAGAGGTGCCCAGAGTGAGAGATCCTTGGAGGAGAAGGCAATTATGAGGCTGAGGATCCAACACATTCTACAAAATTGGGGTATTCCCTCCCTTTCTCCTCCTCCGCCCTGCAGCCAGACCGCAACGCTAGTGCGGCAGGAACTGGGTTGGGCGCCATCTCTTGCTCGTCTTCTTTTCTCTTCTCTGTTCTCCATCTGTTACTTCCCTCGTCTCTCCCGTGTCTCCTTGAGCGTTGGTGCTTACTCTCTGCTTTCAAGTTGGTGGTAGGGTCGGCCGCTCGGAGTCATCGGCTTGCAGTGGTGTGTGTGTGTGTGAGATGTGGAGGAGGAGGAGAAGGAGGAGGAGCAGGAGGAGGGGGAGGAGGAGGATGAGGAGGAAGAGGAGGAGGAGGAGAAGGCGGAGGAGGAGGGGGAGGGGGGGAGGAGAAGGAGAAGGAGGAGGAGGACGAGGAGGAGAAGGAGGAGGAGGAGGAGGAGTTGAAGGGGGAGGGGGGGGAGGGGGAATGGGAGGCGGATGAGGATCCGAGTCCAAGCTGCTCCTCCTTGCAACGCCCTGGCTGTAGGGTCAAGCACACACGGCGACCGGAAGAAGAAGAAGGAGAAGAATAATACTACTAAGAAGAAGGACAACCCATAAAGTAGCAAGGAGGGTCAAGTAGGATGTCGAAAGGAGCTTGATGTAGCCTGGGGGTCCAACGAATACATACGTTCAACGACAGGCGTGTACTGATCCCACACAGCACCTTGACGTCTACATTGGAACTGTTCAGAACAACTGGACAGTGGAAAGCTCTGAACTGGTGGAGATAGAACTGGCCAGGCCCAGAACACAAAAACTGGACGGGGCTGGAACCATCCCGAGACATTGGAACTACGCTGGCCAAGGCTGGAACAACAGAGGGGCGCTGGCACCGACTACTGGCTGGCAAGAGTCGGAGGTCCTGTCAAGTTGTAGGCATCTGCCCAGCCTCCCTGTACTAGTTACTGGTTCATGCCCCCTGCCAACTGATGGATTCCGTTTCAAAGTTCAGCCCAGTGCCTTGCAATAAGGATCCTCGATTCCTCCAGCATCATCGCGAGCTCGCTCGAGCATCGGACTGGTCGCTCTTTCAATTGGTCTGGCACGCCCTTTTCCTCCTCCTCCTCCTTCTCCTCTTGCTGGTCTCCTCCGCTTCCAGTTCCGCTTCTGTTCATCCGACTCCTCCTCCTCCTCCGTTCCTGCTCCCTTCTCTTCGTCTCCTCCTCTCCACCTCCCCCTCCATCTCCTCCTGGTTTTCCTCCTTTCTCCCCCCTCTCATTCTCCTCCGTTCTCCCTACCCTCCTCCTCCTCCTCCTCCTCCTCCTCTTCCTCTTCCTCCTCCTCCTCCTCCTCCTCCTCCCTTCCTCCTCGTCCTCCTCCTCATCCATTATCCTCTCCTCCCGTGCCCTCCTCCTCCGCCTCCTCCGTCTCCCCATCGCCCTCCTCCTCCGCCTCCGCCCACAGCCTCCTCCCCCTCCCCCGCTCCTCCTGCACAGCCTCCTCCGCGCGGTGGTGCGACCCCGGAGCGCCTCCAGCTCCTGCGGGCTCTTGAAATCGCCCTTGGCCTTCCTGTCCTGCGCCCCGCGGGGGGGTGGGGGGGGCGCCTCCTCGCCCGCACACCACGCCCCCCCCCCCCCCCGACCCTCGCCCCGCCCGCGCGGAGCACGGGATGTCGGCCCCCCCCCCTCTCCCTCCTCCTGCTCCTCTTGCGCCTGGTCCTGCTCCTCCTGGTCCTGGTCCTCCTCCTCCTCCTCTTCCTCCTCCTCCATCTGCCTCCTGCTCCCTCCCTCCCGTTCCCTACTGTTCCCCTCTCCTTCCTCGTGCTCCTTCCCCCTCCTCCACCCCCTTCCCTCCCGCCCCTCCTCCTCCTCCTCCTCCTGCCGGCATGCCGCCGCGAGTCGATTTCATCACATTCGTCGGGGTCGGATGGATGATGAAAGGAATTCGGGGGGATGGGCAGGTCCTCGAGTGTTGTCTCCGACGTATCGCTCATCTGGCTTGTTTCTGTTTGAAGTTGCCGCGAGTGTTAGGAGCCAGGGGGAGTAGGTGAGGGGAGGGGCCATGAGGGGAGTAGCATCAGTGCCGTGTACCACATTTGGGCTCCTAGCAGTTGCATCTTTCTGCGCGGCTTTAGGCCGGCGCTCAAGGGCACCCCCGCACACTGCAGTGGGGTCGCGCACAGGACGAACATGTGGAGAGGCATTGGCGCCATCACATTCTAGAGTAGTCCTCCTCCTCCTCCTTCTCCTCCTCCTCCTCCTCGTCGCCCTTCCCCACTCTGCCTCTTCAGCCTCATTCCGTCCCTTCTCTCTCGGCTTGCGTCTCTGAGTCCTCTGGATCGCCCGAAGATGGCCCGGGCTCCCAGAATAACCATGAGATAACAAGGGTGAGAGGACGGATGCAGACAGGGCGGGACGGTGTGGGGAAGAACGATGATGATACGGGTGAGATCAATGGCAAGGACTTCATAATCCAGAAGCAGAATGGACAGGAGAAGAGAGAAGAGAGACAAGCGGCAGATGGACAAGCTGGGTGCGACAAGCTAGGTGCGCTCGCGCCACATCTGACTTCCTACCCCTCCATACAATCCATGTTCATTGAATTGAACGTTGTTGCATCCGCCGAGTGGAGTGTCTTACAACAACAAGCCTTGGTCCTCAACTTGCAGTTGGACGGTGATAGGATCCGGCCCAAAATTACCTGGTCAAATGTGGTTCGGAGACGGGCTTCGGCTGGCGACCCTCCTCCTCCTCCTCCGCCTCCTCATGATCAGCCTCATACGCAGTCTCTTCCGTCACCTCCGCCTCCTCGTCATCGTCCTCCTCGTCTTCCAACCATCGAACGTTCGGGTCCCCCGTCTCCTCCTCCTGCTCTTCCTCCTCCTCATCCTCTGGTCTCCTCCTCCGCCTCCGCCGTCCATCTGGCTTCCTCCTCCGCCTCCGCCGTCCTCGTCCCCCTCCCTCCCTCCCTCCTGCCTCCTCCCGTGGCCGCGAAGAGTGCAAGGATGGAGAACCGACACACGAACAAACGGGGCCACACTCCAGAACTCGTTGGGGGAACCCGCCAGATCCGCGATCTCTCGAGATCTGTGTTGGAAGGGGGAGGAAACACAAAAAAAACCTCGGGCCCCCAATCCCAGGCACCCGGTGGCTACACACTCTCGAAACATGGGCCCATGGACCTCCCGACCCGTCCCCAAGGGTAGCACTTCGTCCTGAGCAACTATGTCGGGGATGGACAAACCTCCCTTTAGTAAAACGTGGTTTAGTGAAAACGACTTCGGGCCCAAACCTGGCGGGCGCAAGCCTGGAAAATAACGGCCACGGCGCCCTCACGAAAACCGAAAACGGACAATTCACTAATCGACGTGTCACTGTTGGAGGTTCTGTTCACCCCCGACTATGTTAGTTCCCCAAGGAGCGAAGCTGGCCTCCAAGTGTCCCCGAGGAGGTGGACAAGCGGGCCGTCTCTGCGCCGAGTCGCCCGAAGTCAGAGCAGTGCAATCCACAAAACTGGTCTCTGGGCCTCTGCCGGACACGGTCCTGGCCAATTCTGAGAACTCCGGGGATCCACTGACCCGGGCCCATCCAGACCCAGGCCAAGCAGGCCTTGCAAGATCCTGCAAGACCCTGCAGGATCCTGCACCCAAGCCCTGGCCCTACAGGATCCTGCAAGACCTGGCGCCCTGACTGAGCCCCGTTGGCACTGTCCTGCGTCTCGAGGCCCCCTGAGAACCGCGTCCACCCCTGCATCCGGCATTCAACAAACGCGTCAAGGGGGAACACGTCCTGGATCCTGGGCGTTCCCCCAGGGTCAGCTCTTCGTTCTGGGTCGTCTTCAGACCGGCCCTGGGACCGTGGACAAAGGCCTTCAGGATTGGGTCGGAGTAGATGGGGTCGGGGGATAGCGCCAAACCGTCGATGTATCCCCGATGCATCGGCGACGTCGGCGTGCAGAATATCTTGCCCCACATCGAACGACATCGCCGATGCGTCGGCGACGCGGCACGACTTCTCCGACCCCATCTACCGTGACCCCATCTGGGATGCCTGGGTAGGAGGCCACATGCGAACCCGACCCCACCACACTACGATTTCTGAGGGGTGAGGTGGGGCGCACTTCCTTTGGAACCTCCCGAGCGAACTGAACCCCATCTCCCCCCTTTAGAAATCGTGGAGTGGTGGGGTAGAGTTCGCATGTGGCCTCGTACTACTGTCAACCCGTATCATTATGACGCGCGATAAGGATGCAAGGGCCTCAGAAGGCCACTGCGAAACTCTTTGAGCGGGGCGCGGACAGCGCAAGTGGTCAAGAATGGACCGAGAAGGCAAGGGCAAGGGTACCCTTGGGAAGGCTGCCCATTCCTCCTATGCGGGATGACTGTAGGACGGACGGCCCCGCCAAACTTGAGCAGTGACCGACCGTCCTGCCATTCCTATAGGCCTACCACGAAATGCCTCTTAGAACTTCAACCTGTTCTAAGAAACAAAGCAATGTTCTTAGAACAGGAACCCGATGAGTTAAATCAAGACGGTCCCAGCCGGACATGTAATTACTAAGAACATGTCGTGCAAACCACCAGCAAGTACTAGAACATTCTCTGGTAGGCCTATAGGCGAGGCAGGACGCTTCGCCACTGCTTGACAAACTCAAGACAAGAATAGCCTCAGGACCCGCTGCCTTCACACAAGCTTTTCCGCCTTGCGTGCGGCGAGAGCAGCACGGTACTGGAAGCCCTGGCGCCGCGCTCCCACGCAAGTGCCTCGAGCCGTCGCTCGAGGAGGGCCGCCAGCGGCCGCGCGGGCACCCCGCCGCACCCCGCGTGGTCCTGGAAGAAGACAACAACAACTTGCCGTCGCTCGGACGTCCATTTCCCGTGTATGTTTCAGTTTTCCGTCTCGATGGTCCAGGATGGTCCTCGATGGTTCTCGCCGGGAAAATTACACACGTCCGAGCGATGCCAAGACAACTGCACAAACATACGCATGCACTTCTGGAGCACTGCGTGGACTTCTCGGATCGGCGCTGGGCACCCATCCCCGGCGCGCGGAGCGCGCCAGGGGCGGGCACTGGAGCCGCTGGGAGGAGGGGGAGGAGGAGAAGGAGGAGGAGGAGGAGGAGGAGGAGGAGGACCCGAGACTCCAATGACTCCGCCGAGAACCGAGGGAGCCACGACATTATTGGAAAACGCGGCTAACCCAAAGCTGCGTGGAAGTCACCGCTTAGGGGAATCCCAGTACGCGGGTGATATTTGGCCTTTAAATTAAGGGCCGTAGATCTGAGCCGACTGGACTCCCAAGTAACTTGGCCAGTGCACGAAGCCATTAGCACAGGGGACTGCCGAGTGGAAGCTGATCCCCCACGTCTCAGACAATAAACAAAAGGGCCCTCGGTGACCATGTGGTGGCCACGGAGGAGGAGGAGGGGGAGGAGGAGGAGGAGGAGGAGGAGGAGGAGGAGGAGGAGGAGGAGGAGGAGGAGGAGGAGGGGGAGGAGGGGGAGGGGGAGGGAGGAAGGGAGGGAGGGAGGGAGGGAAGCAGGGGAGGAGAGGTGCCCCCGTCGTGCTCTCTTGGGCGCGATGGGGCGCCGCCGGGCGGAGCTCCAGGCCCCTCCGGCCTCGGCCCTGCCTTCCCCCGCGAGGTCCGCCAGCCGGAAGAACTCTCCGAGGCTGCCCCACGAGGCCGCGGCGCCGTGCCCGCCCAGCAGCTCGCAGAGCTCCGCCGGCGAGGCCGCCGCGCGCGGGCCGAGGGCGCGCAGGGCCGCGGCGGCGGCCGCGAGCGCGGGCGGCTCGGCGCCGTCCAGCAGGGCCTCCACGGCCGCGGCGGCCGTCTCCGTGGCGTCCTCGGGGGTCTCAAGTCGGTCGGGCATGCCCTGCGGCAGGCTGATTTTGGAAGAAGAACACAAACACAGTCGACGCAGACTCAAGCACGGCAATGCGTGGTCCAAGCATCGTCCCCTGACTCTATTGTTGGTTGCCTGTGTTTGAAGATTCCTCCTGTAGTGGGACATGCCCGACTTGAGGATACACACAAGGGTGACGCCAGGCACGAGGGAGACCTCTGGTGCGCGGCACTGGGAGGCCGCGAGGGGGGGGGGGGGGCGGCTCCGAGCGCGCAGGCCAGCGCTGGCGGCGCCCCCGCGGGCGCGTTTTGGCCAGAGGTCGCTCCTCTGGCGGAGGGTCGCCCTTGCGAGTGCAGCCCGGTCCTGCAGGTACTCGCGGACGCGGTCCGCCGCGACGTGCCCCCCTCGCTGGAGCACCTGCCGCCACGCGGCCTCCGAAGCGGGCAGAACGCCAGGAGGCCCCCCGCCAGGCGGCGGCGCTGGAACGCCCGCAACCAGGGAGCAGAGCGCCGTGGCCTCCTGCTCCGACAGGCCCCCGAGGTGCTGGAGGAGCGCCCGCCGCAGCTCCAGCAGCGAAATCTCCGCGGCGCCAGGCGCTTCCCCGCAGCCCGCGCTGGCCAGCAGCGCCGCGAGCGCCCTCTCGTCGGCGGCTGCCAGCCAGAGCTCCCCGGCGGTCTGTGCTCGGCGCCAGCTTGCTGCCGCCTCGCCCGCGGCCGCCTCGTCGACCTCGGCGGCGGCGGCGGCCAGGGCCGAATCGGCTCTGGCGGCAGCGCTCGCCGAGGGCGCCGCCGCGGCAAGTGCCTCCGCGGACCGCGCTGGCGCGCCCTCCGCCTGGCTTCCAGGCTCCGGGTCCTTTGGTCCAGCAGCGGCGGGCCGCTCCCTGGCCGCCCCGAGCTCCCAGCTCGCGGGCCGCTGCCGCGGGGAGCTGGGCCTCGCCAGCACGGCCGTTCGGCCCGCGGCCAGGAACACCTGCACGGCGCCCACGGCCCCTCCAGAGTCCAGAGAGCACACATCCGCTTCAGTCTCCAGGAGCGTGGCGCGGCCCTGCTGCCAGATGTCCTGCGCCGCGTTCAGGCTCAGCATCGGCACGGCGAGGCTCGCGAGCCCGATCAAGCTGGGACCCTGGTCGGGGCCCTGCCAGAACTGGACATGCACGGTCTTGGGCGCCGGGCCGCTCACCAAGGCGCCCAACTGCCACACGGGCTCGCTGGAGACCGCGCCCTGAGCAATGACGCCGCACGTCTCCCCGGCCGGCGCGGCGCCGCCTGCTGCCTCGCGCTGCACCCAGGCGCTCACCTCTTGCGACGCCCCCAGCCGAAACACCGCGCGGACGCCAGCCAGCGACGCCGCCCGCAGCCGCACGGAGCCCAGCCAAACCCGCAGGTGCACGGGCAACGCGGCGGTCCTCGTGGCCGGTGGCTCGGCCGCCTGCGGGGGCGCCGGCGCTGCCCGGGGCACCGGGGCAACCGCGGCAGGCTCCGCCGGGAACGCGGCCGCGCCCTCGGCCGGGCGCGGGGGCCGCATCGGCGCCTCCGCCGGCATTCTTGAGGCCACGGGGGCCTCTCGCGCTGCGGGTGGGCGAGGGCGCTGGCGGAGGCCCTCGTCCTCCTCGACTAGGCGCTCGTTCCTCTCGAAGGAAGAGAGCACGTCGGCCTCCGGCCGCCATCGCGCGGTCTGCGGCCACTCCGTGCGCAGGCGCAGGCGCAACTGCCCGATCACCGCGCGGTCGCCGGGGCCGCGGAACACGGGGAGCTGCGCGTCCATCCGGAGGTCGCTGCCCGTCAGCCACGGCGCGACGTCGGCCTCGCAGACCCCAACCAGCGCGGCGGCACCGGCCGCCCTGTCCAAGCGCACGCTCAGCACCCCCATGTCGCCGAGGTACGCCGAGAACTTCGCGGGCGAGCACCGAAGGGGGAACGCCGCGCTGTAGGCGCCCCCCTCCGCAGGCGCCGAGAAGTTCTGCGGCAAGAGCCGCGGCACCGCCGGGTCGTTCCCGTCCTCAGGAGGCCTCCTAGATGGGATCCGAGTGGATGGGGTCGGAGGAGCTCGCCGCATCGCCGATACATCGGCGATGCATCGCCGATGCATCGGCGACGCACTGGCGACGTCGGCGATGTATCGATCACGTCGGCGTGGAGAAAATTGGGCCCCACATCAAGCCGCATCGCCGATGCGTCGGCGATGCGGCGCGATCCTCCGACTCCATCTACTCCGACCCCATTGAGGAAACCTTCTGCGGCGAGCGAGGGGGGGAAGTGAGAAGGGGCGGACCATCTCAGGATTCTCGGATGTCCCCCGGCATTCAGAGAAGTCCCACCAGCTCTCTAGGGTGTAGGTGGTCTAGGGTGTTTTGTCCTCCATCTGCCTCTCTTCCCTTTCGGGGAAGGGTTTATCACTGTTCCCTATTAGTGCACGCCCCCTCCCCCCCCCGGCGGGCGGCCAACCCAGAACCATGCCAACCCCATGAGGGCCCCCTTAACCTTTCCTGTCAAAAAAAACAATACTAAAAGCACTCTGCCTCCACATTTGGAGCATGCGCTGCCAACTCGATGCGGCCCCCACCACCATCCCTGTCCAACAAAAACAGAAAGTATATTTTGGGACAAAGTCTGGAATCATGGTGGTGTGGCCTACGAGCACTTTGTATAGTTTTTCACAAGGACGGCGGGGGTGCCAGCATATTCCCTGCTGTGCGCAGGGCTACCATCCCTGACAACAACAACAATTCAACATGCATCTCGCGCCGAAATCTGGATCATGCGCGGCCACCCCGCGATAGTGGTTATTGACAGGGACGGCTGGGGTGGTGGCGCGTGGCCTGCTGTGCACAGGCCCACCAGACACAATGATGGACACAGGTTTTAGACAAGGATAGAGGGGGCCGACATGTTCCCCGATGTGTGCTGTCACGTGCGCAGGCGCACCTGACGAACTCTGCATGTGCTCCGAACGTGGCTCACCTGGCGCGGCTGACGTGTGCGGCACACCTGGCGCACTTGGAGCACGTGGCGCATCTGGCGCACCAGGCGTGCCTGGCACGCTCGGGCCCCATGGGTGACTGGCGCGCGTGGCGCGCCTGGCACGCGTGGCGCACCTCGCCCCAGCGTCGCGTCCTTGGGGACGGCGTTGGTTCCCAGTAGATGTCCATCCAAAGACGGCCGCTGAACATGCTCAGACTCAGGTATTACTTCTATGTTGGGAGGGCGGGTGGGTGAGCTAGACTGCTTGCTATCCAGGGGGTGTCTTGACCCCTCCCCCTACCCGCGGCGTTGGCGGCGGCGGCGGCGGCGGCGGTGGCGGCGGCGGCGGCGGCAGCGGTGGCGGCAGCGACTGCGGCGGCAGCGGCTGCGGCGGCGGCGATTTGGCAGCGGGGGCGGCGGCGGCGGCGGCGGCGGCGGCGGGCAGCGCGGCGGCGGCAGTGGCGGACAGCGGCGGCGGCGGCGGCGGCGCGGCGCCGGCGGCGGCGGCGGATTGACCCCCAGTAGCTGGCCATCCAAAGACGACTGCTGCATATACTGCGGCTCGGGCCAGGCTCGGGTGCGGTGTATGTGTTGGGGGGGCGGGTGGGAGTGAGCGAGACGGCTTGTGGGCGGGGAGGGCGACTCTTGACCCCTCCCCCTACCCCCTCCTCTGGACCTGAGCCTGGACGGTCCAGCGAGGGGTTGGAGCGTCCAAGATGGCCCAAGATGGGCTCCAAGAGCGCCTCGGAGAGCCCAAGATGAGCTCTAAGATGGCTAAAGATATCTCAAGATGCCTCAAGATGGCTCCCAAGATGCTCCAAGAGGCCCCAAGACCGCTCAGAGACGGCTCCAAGTGGCCAGAGAGCTCCCCAAGGAGGCCCCGAAGAGGCCCAAATCCTTCCAAAACCTACGAAAAAAACATCCATGCTGTGTGCTTTCTCGCCTTTTCGCTTCCGATGGCCATCCGAAGCCTCAAGATGGCTCCAAGATGGCCCGAGAGGGCTCCAAGAGAGACTCAAGAGAGCCCCTATGACGGCTCCAAGAGCGCCCAAGAGCGCTCCAAGAACGTCCCAAGAGGCGACTCTTGGAGCTCCCGAGGTGCAGCGCTAATTAAAGCTCCCCTCTTGTTTGATCGATGTCCTCCAAGATGGCACCAAGAGGGCTCCGAAGGCGCCCAAGAGGCCTCCAAGAGGCCCCAAGAGGCGCCCAGGAGGCCCCAAGAGGCGCCCAAGAGGCCTCCAAGAGGTCCCAAGAGGCTCCCCGAGGCACCCGAGACGCTCCGATGGGCCCCAAGGACCGCCAATAGGCCCCCAAGATGCAAGAGAGGCTAACGAGAGCACCAATACGGCCCCAAGAGCGCCCAAGAGTGTCCCAAGAGCGCTCCAAGAGGAACCCTTCCTCTGAGTGCTGCCCACTTCCCGGATCGAGGCCCCTCCCCCGGGCATCGTCTCTGGATGGGCTGGTGGGGTTACGCGAAGCACTAGAATTTCCTGAGCCTTCTTCGGAGACGGAGAATACCTCGCAGAGCGCGCGAGGCTTTCTGAGAAGTCCCGCCACCTTCTCAGAAGGCCTTCTCCTTCTCACGCCCCCCCCTCGCTCGCCGCCGAGGCCTTGAGTCCCGGTCCGGCCCCACCACTCAAGAGTGACCCTAGGCAAGAGTGACCTTTGGTGCGCGGCTTTTGGGGGGGCGCGCGGGGGCCAAACCCAAGCGCGCAGGCCGCTACCATCTCATCGTATCCAGCCATCTGTGGTCCTCAAAGGCCCCGCACCGGAGGTCACTGCAGAGCAGGGCCACTCCTGCGTGTAGTCGATCCTGGCCCCACCACTCCAGCACGCCGACGACGCCGCAGTCCTGCAAGTCTCGCATGGCGGACCCGCCGAGCTCGAGGTGCACCAACTCTGCGTGCACGCGGCCTTGCACGGCGCCCGGCACATGCGGCGGCAGCCCGGGGCACGTGCGCGGAGCGGCGCGCGGGGCCACCATGCCCTCGAGCCGATGGGGGCTACAGCCAGACCTGGGACAGAAAAACATCCTGCAAGAACATGAGACCCTCCGCTGGCCCCAAACTGAAGAGCATTCGAGGGCGCTCTCCCCCAGGATGCTTAAAAACATCACATGAAAACGAAGAACACTGGGGTACCCACCCCGAACCGACCTCGATCTTATACCTCGGGCTGACCGTACCCAGCAGAACTGCGACGTCCAGACTGTCTCGCAACCCTAGAAGAAGACGACACTGCATAAATAAAACGAAGCCAGGACGAGGATAACATCGGGGAAAGGTGAGAATCTCTGAGATCCGGCGGATCTGGAGGATGTCTCGGGCGCCGCGGCCTTCTCAGAGCGTTCTGGAACGCTTTGAGAGCGTGTTCAGGAACGCTCTGGAACGGATTTTGATGGGCAGATGTTCCACCACCGCTACCGTATGTAGGCCTGGGGAGAAGGGACGATGAGGAGGTCCTCCTCCTCCTCCTCCGCCTCTGCCTCCCTCTATTACATATGGTAGCGGTGGTGGACAAAAAGAGCCCCTGAGATTTGGCCTCGTCCTGGCCCCGTGCGAATGCACCTAACACTTCGCAGGTCCGCGCAGACTTCGTGGCTCCGCGCCGAATCTCCCTGGAGGCGCCCGCGGCGCGGCCCCTGGTGAGCCAGGGAGGGGGGTCCAGCGCCGACCCACGCAGTGATGGGCCTGCTTTCCACCACCACCACCCGAAATTGGAGAGGGAAAAGAGGAGGAGGACGAGGAGGAGCACGGAAAGAAGGAGGAGGAAAACCCCCTCCCCCTCCAACTTATGGTGGTAGTGGTGGTGGAAAACAAGCCCATCAAACAATCCGCCCAAACCTCTGAAAAACACGTCTATCTAACATTCCCCGCTTCCATCCGCAAAAAAAAACAGGAATCTCCGACTACTTCCCCGGGGGCCGGCTTTTCACCTTGGATCGTTTGCGTTGACGGTCCTGGGGCCCAGCGCGGGCCCCCATAGGCCGAAAAGTACAAAAACAATTCCGTCGCACCTGCGTTACGCGACGCAAGGAGGTCTGGGGGCGGGGAAGGGGGGGCCCGGAGGAGGAGGAGGAGGAGGAGGAGGTGGAGGAGGAGGAGGGGGGGAGGGGGAGGAGGAGGAGGAGGAGGAAAATGGGGGGAGAGAGCGGGCCCAGCCGATGCGGGTCGGGCCGGGGCCAAAAGCTGAGATGTCCTCCCGACCCTCACGGCCTCGTGCTCTCGCGCCCCCCCCGTGCACGGGACGCTCTTGGCCGCCGCGCTCTCGCGCTGCCCCTCCCGGCGGGCAAGGGGGCAGCTCTCTGGCCCAGGCCGCAGTGCGCGCGGCTGTCTCCGCGCCCGTGCGGCACGGCGCCCCCTGCCTCCTCCTCCTCCTCCTCCTCCTCCTCCTCCTCCTCCTCCTCTTCCTCTTCCTCATCCTCCTCTTCATGCTCCTCCTCTTCTTCCTCCTCCTCCTCTCCTCCTCCTCCTGCTCCTCCTGCTCCTTTTCCTCCTGCTCCTTCTCCTCCTCCTCCTCCTCCTCCTCCTCCTCCTCCTCCTCCTCCTCCTCCTCCTCCCCCTCCCCATCCCCCTCCTCGTCCTCTTCCTGCAAAACCCCGAGGAGGGTTCTGCACGGGAGCCTGGCAACAATGATAACGATAGGTCACCTTTATACTCCCGAACGGCAAAGCAGGTCTATGTAGCTTCGACCGTTAAACACTTGAGCCAAAGGCAGCAGGGTTACTATTCCTCCCCTGTCACACGCACGCTTGCATGTTAACCCCCCCCCTCGGACGCCAGTCCGCATTGGCTGACGGGGAGGTGCCTATAAACGCAAAGACAGGTTAAATCAAGCAACAGGCTGCATGGACATCGTTATATCACCGAATTCGAGATGTCTCATAACAACGTTCACGAGCGCCACGTCTCTCAGACATGCAACGTGAGCTCAAGTAAACATTCAATCAGTTACGAGTTTAAATGTAGCATCCAAAGCTCACACGGCAGGCTAGCATTTATATGGTTTTGATTGCTTTCGCTTTGTATACGCCAATACCTGCGGTAACTATAAAAGATGCACATGCAAATTGATTCAGCTCAATAGTCTACTGCAACGCTATTGTTAAGCCTGGTTGAGAGGGGAGATGAGAGAGAGAGCGTAAAAGAAAAGCATGCCGGTCACCTGTCACCGTTTACGAGCGGCGCGGGCGCCTCACTGACGGAGCACGCGCGCCTCTGGACTTCGGTAAACTACGGTGCCCCACGCTGGCCGCCGTATAGGACGACACCCTGTTAAGGGCCTGCGTCGGGCTGTAATAGTCGGTGTCCAGGTACGCGTTAATGCGCTCCTCGTCGTCCAGCCAGCACCCCTCGTCAAAGCTCTTGGTGGGCCCGTCAACAATGTTGTGGTAAGTGCCGATGGCCCTCCAGTAACTGGCGTGGGGAGCCTTCAGCAGAGGTTTACCACCTGGGTTGTTGCGGAAGTGCTCTTCGACCGCAACTCCGGTAAACGGGTTCACAGTCCAGGCCGGGTCGGTAAGCCAGTTGGGGAAGTCGTCGCACGGCAACCATCCAAACCAACAGAGCTTCTCGCGGTGGTCACTTTTACGCTCGGTGATGTGATCGGCAGGCCAGCTGTCACGGTAAAGTGCCCTCATGGACCCCTGATCGTTAAGAGCGACGTCTAGGATGGTCTGGTGCCAGTAAACCGGAGGCTTGTTGATGCTGCCCTTTAACTCCTCGGCGCTCCTGACCTCGAGATCCTCGATGAAGTAGTTGCGGTAATACACCTGGAGCCCGTTCATGTAACGGCAATAGAGCTTGGCAAGGTCGTGCGTCGCAAACCTGGTCACGGTAACCCCAGTTGAGATGTAACCGTGCGGTCCGTAAGTGTCTTCCACCAGGTGCTTAACGGAGACCACGGCGGGGTTGCCGTGGGGCAGCATCCCGGCCCACGTTAAGCTGCTTCTCGTTCATTTCTGGTGCCTTGTTGACGTAGACCTGTGTATCTGGGCAGCTGTGAACGTCGAACCACACTGGGTGGAGATCGTTAGCGTGGATCGGCGGCGCGTACTCGTCGTCAAACAGGGATTGCACGTGCCCGACCGCGTCAACCCACTCGTCGTGCTTTTCCAGCTCCTTCTCCGTCAACTGAGATCTCCAGCTGCACGGGCCCTTCAACACGGAGTAACCGAGGAAGCCGTAAGCGTGCTGCCCGTAAATGTCGACGAACACCTCATCGTAGTCGTTAAGCTCCCGCCCCGTGTTGCCCTGAATAGACCGACCACCTGGAGTCGTCAACCCCTCTTTTGCCACATGTCCGACGAAGTTGCCTTCGAACCTGCGCCAGTTGTCGCGCGTCTTCATCGTTAACGCGACTACTTCCCTGGGGTCGGGCTCCACCTTGTAGTTCACGTCGTGGTCCTCGCTCCTGTCGTTCACCATGGGCACGCGGCCGTTGACATGGCACAGTGGGCGGCACATGCCCCTGGCAACGTTCCGCGAGTATGCCGCAAGCTGCTCGTCCGCACGGTTAACAGCCTGAGGCTGCGGTGGAGGAACATACTGGGTCGATAACTTCTTGGGCACCGGAGGCGGGGGATTCATGCCGCTAACACTGCTCGATGCCCCTGACTCGCCAAGGCCTGGAGGAGGCGGTTTGGGCGCCCTCACGTTCACCACCGGGGCAGGACCTTTTGGTACTTCGTCACGTTGACTGCCCTGTGCGCGATCTTCATCCATCTTCATTCCCAGCTGCAGTAACTCTTCCAGTTCCCGTTTACGCTCATGCATGGCCTTGGGTGCTTTCTTGTAAACAGGTTGAGGTGACGTTGACTGCGGGATCTTATTCGGCGACGCGGATCGACCGAACCCTCCGGTCTTGGGCGCGGTGCCGGTAAAGCCCTGAGCCGGGGGTGCACCCGATGCCGCGGCAGCTCGGGCTAGAGGCTTGCTGGCCTCGGCCGCCGCGTTGACTGCAGTGGGAGGCGCCTTGGCGGCCACTGCCGTTGGGGGCTGCTCGGGTAACGGCGGAGGAACCTGCGGGATGTTGGTAACTGGGGAGTTGATCGGGTCACGCAAGAACCTCTGTAATCCTTCGAGCCTCTCTGTTACTGCCACCAACAAGCGCAGTGCCGCATCACGTTTACCCTCGAAGTCCTGCAGGGGCGTGATGTTCTCGGTAAGGCGCTTGGCGGTGTTCAGGAGGTAACCAATGTTGTCGTTGATGCGCCTATACTTGGTTGCATTCTCCTCCGTGTTAACTCCCGAGTCACGATTCTGAATGTTCAGGTCCGTAATCGTCGCCATCAGAGCGTTAATCTCCGCCTGCGCCCTTTGGAGATTCTCGTTGACGTCGTCACTGTCCTGGATCAGCGCCTCGTTCTGCCGCGTTAATTCCTCGATCCTCTTCGCCATGTCATCCGCGGCCCTTTGCACCTCGTCAACGTGTTTGTCGTAGGCTCCGTGGAAGTTGATCGCCATGTTAGTGAGGGTTACGGTAAACGCGTGAGCAACGTGCACCATGTCGTCAACACGGCGGTTGAGGTTCTCACGCGTAACCGGTCCATCCCCAGCCGGGCTCTGGTCGACCATGGAGCCGTTAATGGTGAGGTTGACCTGGGGAGCCGCCATGCCTTCGTTCACGCCCAAGAGTAAGAGGTAATGGGTGGAGAAGGCCTTTAATAGCTGCAGTTTGCTTGACAGAAATGAGCTGCGAACATCAACATTCGGTGGCTGGCGCAAGCTCATGCCTACCTGTTAATGCACATTGATTCGTGTTTGGTAGATGTGTGCTCATGTTTTCACGACTGACATACTTGGTCAACGCATCCGCTGCATTCTCGTGTGTCCCTACTTTCACAATACGAATCATTCCCTCCTGAACTTTCTGCTGTAACCACAATTGACACACCTCGATATGTCTTACTTTCCCCAAGCCTCGTCTGCTCGCAATGGCAATCGCAGCCGTGGCGTCGCTCTTCACTGAAATCTCAACTTCCAA